CAGAAATACTATTTAACAAACAGTAATAAAGTATGAATATTTAGTTCTAAGCATAAAAGATCCTAGTCTCTTTATATTGTTAACAGTGCTATTAGTTCTTGTAGCTGTTCTGTTAGAATGACAGATACACTATATAAGTATCAAGAAGCTATTTCTATGAGATTTCATATCATAAGCTTGAATTTTATACCATTATTAACTCTAAATGATTGAATAGTCTTTACATATATTGCACTTAGTAAATAAAGTTTGCTATTCTCAATTTTACTATACTATTATTTGACTAATTTTATTTTTTTTAGATCATGTTTTATAGAATAGTTCTTTTTATGCTTCATTACATACAAATCCCTCTTCACAAGATCAAATTTTGCAAACAAAATCTTCTAATAAAAGATTAAAAAATTGTTCAGTTGCTGAATGGAGATAAGTATTAAACCTAGCAGCATATATCTGATCAAATGTGACTAATAACTTTGAATTATTTTCTTAGAGAATTGGATAAAGAAAATAAAAATATTAACGATTCTATCATTCTTATTTCTTTCCTAAAAGCTGTTAAAGAAGACTATCAAAACTGTGGATTGCAGTTTCATATTGCATTAAACAAATTTGTTAAGAGATATTTTATGGTAAAATTAATCTCAATTTCTTGATTATTATCATTTCTTTATAGTATTAACTATAATATAGATGTAACATATGTCAAAAGTGATGCAATGATTGATATTCAAGTAGAGTCTATTTATAAAGTGAAATAAATTAGAAGAATCAAATAATACTAAATGAAAACTTCCTTTTAAAATAAGTGGAGATAGAGAAAAAGAAAATTTAGATCTTTAAACAATTTCAAGTCAGAAAAAAAGAAAAACTAGTAAAAAAGAATACAATTTAAGCAAAAATATTAGTAAAAACTGGTTGAATTGAATTCATTTTATTCATATATTTTAAAAAATTTTAAAATTGTCTTTTATTAAATAAAATTTTAATTTTTATATTATATTTATTTTTTTTCGTTCATATTTATATTTTATTATTTATTTAATTTTACATATATGATATTTTTAAATAATTCATTTTTAAAATTTTATTGCATTTTTAAATAATTCATTCTTAAAAATTTTATTATATTTTTAAATAATTCATTCTTAAATTTCATTTAATTATACCCTTAAAAT